GGGGTGAGGGACACGGGGCAGCGGGGAGCCGCTGCTCACACTTGCAGCTGCTAGTAAAGAGCAGTAGGGTCTGTGCCGGGCGGTGCTGACACCCGCCCCTCGGTCCCCTTGCAGCACGATGCTCAGATGGACTACTATGGCACACGGCTGGCAACCTGCTCCTCCGACCGCTCCGTGAAGATCTTCGATGTTCGGAACGGGGGGCAGATCCTCATTGCAGACCTGAGAGGGTAAAGTGTTGTAAACTGAAGAGTTCTATCTGTGGAAATGTTTAATATTGAGCCATTTTGCCTTTCTGTAATGTAAGACACATGGTGAATTCCTCCAAGGTAGTAACTGCTCTGGCTGGTCGCTGCTGAGCGGCTCCGGCCAGGGTGGACAGAGAGCTGGGTACAAACAGCACTGGGACTTTTTCATTCATTAAGTACTTGACACCTGTGAATTTCAAGAAGTAAACTCACAATCTAAACTGCTGATGTCTGGATAAATGTTGGAATTGTTTTTGATGGCAGCAGCTTTGTCTGACGGTCCTGTGTGCTGGTTTTCAGCTTGGCATTACTCACTCTGTACGGCTGCAGTAATTGCTTGCAGAACACCAGCAGACTGCAGCAAGGGCTGCGGAGCAGCCACGGTGAGAGCAGGTGTGTCCTGCTCTCCCAGCCAGCCTCCTTTCTTGCAGGCATGAAGGTCCCGTGTGGCAGGTTGCCTGGGCCCATCCTATGTACGGGAATATCTTGGCCTCCTGTTCCTACGACAGGAAGGTCATCGTCTGGAAGGAGGAAAATGGGACTTGGGAAAAGACATACGAGTACACGGGGCATGATTCCTCAGGTGCGTGGGGTGGAGCTGGGAGGTGAGACTGGGGGTGATATGGGAGGAGTCAGGTCAGATTGGAATAAATCTGCTGGTGTTGAGGAAGGAGGCGTCTGCCAAACAGGTGGGGATAAGCCAGTGGAGAGGCAGGAGGTCTGTTCAGCATAAACACGACTCCATAACTCGTATCGCCGGGTAACCTCCTGTCCCAGCTCATACCATGTTTCCATGGGAGCTGTTTTGCAAAGAAATCAACTTCCATATAAGCAAGATGGTAGGGTGCTGGATTCTTGAGGAAAATACTGCATGTATCTGCTGCAGGAAGAAAATTTTAGCACGCTGTGGTTTGCTTTACAGTGGAAAATGTTATGTTCAGGTGCTGTGTCCTACACACAGGTCTGAGAAGTCTCCAGCTTTATGTAACTAATCTAGACTGTAAATTCTATGCCTGCCACTCGGCTTTTGAGAGTTGGTGACACCCTTTGCCGTTACTGGGGATCGTTGGAGGTTTTAATCTCTCATTAAGGGTGCCCTTGTGGTGTTCTTGCTCTCAAAGGGTGCCAGAGATGAAGGCAGCTTTCTGTTGCTGGGGGAGCAGGGTTAACTGGCTGTGCTGAGGCTCGGGCACGCTGAGGCTCACCGTGGCTGTCCCACTGACAGCAGCGTGGTGGGGTTAGCCCACCCGAGGGGGTCGCTGCCTTGTAACCCAGTCTCTGCCACCCCTCACAGTGAATTCTGTCTGCTGGGCACCACACGACTACGGGTTGATCCTGGCCTGCGGGAGCTCGGACGGGGCCATTTCGCTGCTGAGCTACACGGGAGACGGGCAGTGGGAAGTCAAAAAGATCAGCAATGCACATACAGTAAGTGTGTCCTTTGGAGGGGCATGGGGCTCTTGGAGCTACAGACACTCAGCTGATGCCTTGAAGGACCTGTAGGCTGTATTAAAACTGCAGGACTCGTGGTATTCCCAAAATAGCAGGGATTTTTGCTTAAGGAGGACTTCATAAGCTAATGGCAGTGGCTCTCAGTAACAGGAAGTTGGACTGTGGACCAAAAGTTCCTTCTAATCCCACATTCCTAAATCTTAGCAACTGCGTACATCTTCTGTCATTCCAGTTGCTCTCTGTCTTTGCTGTTTATGTATCCAAGATGATATTTGCACATAAAACAGTTACTTAGCTACCTGAGGCTTTCTGAGTAAGTGCCTTACTGAGACTAGACTGTATTTGGATTTTCTTTCTCATCAATATCTGTCTAGCGTTGTGCATGGCTTCTGTTTTCCTAAGATGGGCTGATTCCCCCCCTCCAATGGGTAGTACTCAGAGTGCCCCCTTGGCCCCTTCAGCAGCTTTTAGTTATTTATTTAAAGTAAGCCACTTCTAATTATGCTATCTTTTTTTCACTAAATAGATTGGATGTAATGCAGTTAGCTGGGCTCCTGCTGTTGTACCAGGAAGCCTTATAGAACAGCCATCTGGTCAGAAACCAAACTACATCAAAAGATTTGCATCTGGTGGCTGTGACAACCTTGTCAAGATCTGGAAGTAAGTGCTCCCTTGCCAGACTTCAGAACTTAGAAAACCTGACACCCTTTGTAGTCTCTTTGAATGTCCCTGTTGGTATCTCAGGTAATGTTTTCAACATCTCTATGCTTTCACCTTTGAATCACCATTTTAGAGAAGTGCTTTACAAATGGGAACAGCTTTGTGATGTGCAGCTCCAACACGGTTGTAGCATTTTGTGTCAGCCCTGCTTCAGCTCACCTCAGACAGTGGCTCTCTGATTGTCTCTGATTGCCCAGTGTCACTGGGACACAGCAGATTTCTGCACAGCAACTGAAGATCAAATGCTGTTTGCCTCTGCTGCTTTCTGTTGCCTGGAAGGGACCTTGTCAGTTTAAGCCATAGTTTTTTGTGGGGAGTGAGGAAATAAATACTTGAGCTTTGTGTTACCTGGGTACACCAGGAGTCTGAAAGCTACAAAACCGAAGCCTTCCAGAAAGATGAGAAACAGGAGTGGCTGCTGCTGCCACACTTCTGACTGTATAAATGTGTTTCAGGGAAGAAGATGGTCAGTGGAAGGAGGAGCAGAAGCTGGAGGCTCACAGTGACTGGGTTCGAGATGTAGCCTGGGCTCCATCTATAGGTTTGCCAACAAGCACCATTGCAAGCTGCTCGCAGGTGAGGCTGCTGTTGGGGTGACAGGCAGGCTCCCTCTGCCCCTGCTGCCATTTACTTCATCCTCTTCTCTGGTAAAGGAATAGCAGGGGTAGAACTGCCATGACAGGCCCTCGTGGCAGCCCTGTGCTGCGCTGGGGGCTGAGTGTAAGAGCCTTTGATTCCTGTTCCTCCCAAACCCAGAAGCCAAATGAAAGCATTTCTGGACAAAGATGTGTGCACATGTGGCTCTGTACCAAAGATCATCCTTTGTTTGAAAATCAAGAGCAGGATGATCTCACTATGAGGAAAATCTTCAAGCTAACATCATATTTTAATGTGTCAGGATCAAATTTGCTGAGCTTCCAGCTAAAAATACTGTTTTCTAATAACTGGCATTCTTAGTCAGCTCTGATGTCCTCAAGCATCATACTGACTGTGGCGTTCTTGCTGTTAATTCTTTGAATGGTTTGGGGGTTTTTTGCAATAACAAGAAGACTACTCAGTAAGCTGCTAAGTTGCTGTCATGTGACTGGAAAGCAACATCTCCTTCTGGGGAAGAAAATTCAGCTGATAGGTATTTGTTTTGGGAGCTTGTCTCTGGTGTGTGCACATCACCTCCTGTACGGGGTGTTTCTCACTGGAGAGCTGCTCTCCTGCCTGGCTTGGTGCTGTGGTACGAGCACAGCCCCTTTGATGGGTGGAGCAAAACTCCACGTGGACACCTCTGGGGCTCCCCTCAGAGCTCTGAGTGAAAGTGCAGCTGTCAGTGCAATCCAGGGTGTTTTCCCTGTGTTGTGACTAGTGGTGTGACCTTGGTCTGCTTGCCTCTGTAGGATGGCAGAGTGTTTATCTGGACGTGTGACGATGCCTCTGGAAACTCGTGGTCGCCAAAGCTGCTGCACAAATTCAATGATGTTGTCTGGCACGTGAGCTGGTCCATCACTGCCAACATCCTTGCAGTGTCTGGGGGAGACAACAAAGTGAGTACTGCTGCCCTGGCTTTTACTCCTGCATGCTGTATTTTGGGAAGGGCTGAGATGAGGCAGGCTGTTGTCACTTTTGGTAAAGGCAAGACTGTTGTATATTCTCCTTTGCTGCAGCAGTGAAATTTTTCCTTTAGACTTACTGGGAGGAAGACCCTGACCTTTGGCAAACTTCTTGTGCTGCATTCTTAGTCCTCTCTGGAGTATGTGTGTTAAGGCTGAAACTTCTCCCTGGTCTGTTTTTGAGGTCACACTCTGGAAGGAATCAGTAGATGGCCTGTGGGCGTGTATCAGCGACGTCAACAAGGGCCAGGGAGGGGTGTCGGCCGCGGGGGAGGGGCAGCAGAACGAGCAGTGACACAGCCCAGCTGCCACCAGCAGCCACCACGCCTGATGTGCAGCATCCCTGGAACCAGGCAAGAACTGATTTTATCTCATCCAGACATGAACATGGGAAACAATTACCCAATTCTTGAGCACTCTATTACTGGGAGGCTATGATGTGTTCATAATCAGCCTTAATTGACATTCCCTTAAATGTAAGGTAAAGAGCATAGCAAAGCACTGTGCCTTACACTACTCCTTGATGCCACAGAAAATTGTACCTTGATTTACTGGCTTAGGGATCAAGTTTCATGGGATTATGCTTCAGTCAGACTGGAAGCACTTGAGTGCTGGGAAGAGCTGGTGGAGTTTTCAGCATTACATGATGGCACACTAGCCCTTCTGGAGGAGCGAGGCAGTGCACAGATCTTCCTGAAAACAATGTGGAAAGAAACCTGAAAACGATGCTTGGATAGGTGAAAGTCTCTGTGCTTCCCCAAAGGTGAAAAGGAGTAGTGGAATGCATATGTCTTTTGCTTTACAATAATGTCAAAGTTGGTTATTTAACCAACACCAATAAATCAACCATAATTTGAAGAATTCTTTTTTTTTAGCCACACTTCTGTACTGTACCTGAGGTTGCTTTTTGTTGAGATACCAACAGAATAAAGTCCTATTGGTTAAAGCCTGGTGTGCTGTATTTAGTGATCTCTTCACAGGGGCCCTGTCAAGGCTGTCTACAGTCTGCTGTCAGTCAAGCCACAGGCACGCTGTGCTCCCAGCCATGGCACTAGCTCTGTGGTAGCTGGGAAGGTGTCAGTCCTCCAGAGACTAACACTGTCTGTAGTGCAAGAAAACAGATTTACCCTCAGTTAAACCCAGGTGCCATCACCCTTGAGGCCAGGGTATTCAGCTCAAAGACCCCATGCTGCAGTACACCTTCAGCTGAAAGATGAAGCACTCCTCCCCTCCTGCAAGACGAAAGGACTTCACTAGAAGCCATATTCTCCCTGTATTCTTCAGTTGCACTGGAGCAGCACAAGTGAGCAATTTGCAGCCTTCCTCCTCCAAGGCAGTGGATGTAAAGTGCAGTCTTTGTTTTGGCACAATCGAGATAGCATACTTCCTTTTCTAGAAAAACAAACCTCATTTTATGATTGTTATCTATAATAACCAAATAATAGTCTAGCTGTCCTCACAGAAACAACATGCCAAAAGAAGTATGCAACATTCCTGTTCTTGTTTAAATGCATTGTAGCCTTACCCCAAAAATGAATCAGGTTATCTAGAAATTCGTGTTACATTCAAAGGTCCTTTTCAAATGACACAGCAAAGCACTCTTCTCTCAAGCTATTTCCCATTTCTGCAAAGATTGTAATCATAATTGTGAAGCTGAACAGGCACCTTTTTCATTCCCAGTACTGTGTCCACTTTCTTCTTCAACACAGAGTGCCTGGTCATTTGGGGGGGGGGTTTGGGTTGGCTGTAACTGCTGTGGAGACTCACAAACTTGAAATCAAGCGTGTTATCTCCATAAAGAGGCTCAAAAATGAAAGCTCATTCTTAGTGTTTACCACACTTCACTCTAAGGAAAAAGAGCTCTAACTCCCTAAGTGCACAATAGGAGTTTTTGCCTGTAGGGGTATAAGGTTCCACAATTGACCATATTAAAAGTTATCCTTATATTTTGTGAGTTTTAATACTGAAGAATTCAAGCCCAAGTTCAGCCTGTTATTCCTTCATACTTAAGATGAAAGGTATTAAAATGGTTTCAAGTAATGATCAAAGTATCCCCAACAATTACAACTGGTAAAAGATATTTAAGAGTTACAGTTTATTCATTGCAAATAATAAGCATTAAGTGAAAGTTTTTCAGATGTTCTGAGACTAAGATTTATGGTTTTAGATCTCTAATCCTCCCCTTCTCATACTTGGGGTGAGGATTGGGGAAAAGCAAGAGAGAAAAAGAACATACTCAACGCAAGTTTCAGACTGAAGAACTTCAAATTGCTGCTCAGCCTGGCTAGCACCAGCCCCCTCTCACAAACTCATCTTCCCCTCAGCTCAGCAGCCACAAGGGATGGATCCACACAGGGCTGGCACAAAATCCCGAGGGCCCCCCTGTCCAGCTCCTGCCAGCCTGACTCAGTCACTGCCACGCCCTGGCACCATCCACAAAGTTACCTGGACACTGGACTATATGTCCTTGAGTATTCCTTGGGTGGGAGGGCAGCAGGGGGGAGGAGAGGGAAGAGTGTGCTTCTGTGTTAGTTCTAGGTCACCCAGACTTCCCTCAACAGAAGCTATTTTGGGACTGGCCACCATTCTGTTACTACTTAGTTGCCTACAGTGAAGATTTTTTTCATGCTTATTTCTTTGTGGTTCATCCTTACTAACAATGTGAGATATTGAATTAAATATATATTTATATATCAAAAAGATTCTAACCATCCCACAAATATTTCAACACATCCATTCAACAAGACATCAGCTGTGGGCTGATGCACTTGCTCGTGTTTTCTGCCTGAACACTGTCAGACTTCTTCAAGCTGTGGAATGACACAGAGACTTCTGGAGGTGCAGAATAATTCCATAGTGGAATTATTCAATGACCATCAGACACCACAGGATACTAATGATCAGACAACACTGTCCAATCATACAGATAAAATATGGGTAAAGAGTTAAAAGAGAATACAACTGGTGTTGGCCAACACAAACTCAATCTGTGTTATGGTTTCATAGTCTCACTTGCTAAAATCAGCCTTGTTGAAAATTGGTCTTTAGACCCTCTGAGGGTCTATAGAAAGCAACCAACTGCAGTTAGCAAAGAGAAAAAAAGAAGTAGCTCTGCTGCAAGAAAGGATTTTTACATCAGCTTTATAATTAAAGTGAAGTACTTTCTCAACCCATTACGTTCATTCTTGCAGTTTGTTACAAGAACAGGAAGTCAAGGTTCAAAAGACTTCCACAAAGAAACATTTCTTCATCACTAAAGAGAGGAGTGACAGGAGCAACTCTAGAAGTCTTTACAGTAAGTGGAGAAATGACCTTAGATTACCCTCCATGAGTTATTAACTGGTGAAAAAGGAAATGATGACAGAAACCTGAAATTTTCATTTGCATGTTCACCTGCAGGCCTGTTTTCAGGAACAGAGCTCAAGACACCACTGATGACAGAAGTTCTGTGATGGCAGACAGTGACACCACATAGTCACACACGTATGCATGTTTCAAGACTATGACTAAATCTTTGTGCTTTTAGACACAGGTAACCAATAATGGATAGGGTTTAGCAAAAAGCTTTTTGCCTTCTAAAGCAGCTTGCTCTCCCACCCTGAAATCCTGTTTTCCTCTGGGAGAGGCACCCGGGCACCCCAGGCAGCAGACACCCAGCTCTGCTGTCACTTGGCTGTGCTCACCTGGACAGGCTGGACTGAGGCACTTTTCTGTGCCATACATCATGATCAGTTTGCCAAACTGGGATTAAAACATAACTCACACTGAGCAGCCAGGTTATGCAACAGAGTGCCCTCACTACCAGACTACAGTGTCTCCTGTGTTATGCCATGTACTGATGCAACTCTACGAGACCACATGTATCACCTCAGAATAAAAACAACAAGGAACAAGGAATTACAATTTCCCTTTGTGCCTACAGGAGAACAAAACCTTTAAAGCATTTTTGTGAAACAGAACTGTATCTAAATTATGTTTCTCAAGTTGAAAACCTGCAGGTTGTCATTCAGCTCTGCCTGTTTCTTCCTGGAGGAGACCCAAGGTATTTACCATGGATCTGCCAAAACATACCCATGAAAAACAATACTGAATTTTCAGCACCATGAAGTATCTCAATTAAATCTCATGTAGAATGAAGCAGTTATTGGCCCATCTGAATATACTCCATGCTTCTTACGTCAGTAGCAATGTTTTCTTGGTTTGATTCTGGTAAAATAAAAAAAAACCCTCATGCTGGCAAATATATGCACAGTGTCCAAGGCACTTGTAATAAAGGACATTACCAGTTTTTAGTGTAGAAATCAGTTTGATAAAATTTGTAGATGATTCTAATATGCAGATCTTTAGTTAGAATACTTTTGCTTGCTCCTAATAGTACCTACAGTGAGCTAGGTACTATACAATTACAGGAGCTATCAGGCCTTACTCTGAGACTTTTGTGTAAAGCTAGGAAAACAATACCATTATACAATTATAATGAGAAGAATTACACATCAATTCCTGGTTTTTTAAATATTCCCTGAATTCCATTCTGACTTCTAGCTATTTCACCACATCAGGCTCTACTACCTGCACTAAGGGGGCAGCAGTCACCTGCCTGTAGTTAATAAACCCATTCCTCAGGCTGCAGCAGGGTGGAGTATGGTAACAACAGCACAAACACTGAACACCAGTGACAGTAATGCTGGGTCAGCCAAGAGACACGAGATGGATCCTCTCTGAGGAGACGTGGCAAGTGTGGCACCACGACCAGGTCCACTCGCTAGCTCATCTAGCACTGATTCTTTAACCCACTGCCAAAATAAATATAACAAATCAAATTTCAAGTGACCTATAACAAAATGAAAGATACTTTAAACTAAAAACTTGTCACTAGTCCAAAATATACAACAGTCACTGTGTGAAACACAATGAGAGACCTTAACAACATGTAAAGGACACTTAGAAAAGATTAAGTTCCAAAAATACTCTTATGAAGTATTGAACACTTGAAGCTCCTGAAGGTGGGACTTTAAGGTTAGACTTCAAATGGCATCATATGTATATATGCAGTAGAGCAGCTCATAGGTTAGCATGGCTTAAGTTATTTACTTACAGTCGACTACGTTCAGTGCAATTCAAACCGAGACTGAGTCGTGTAGAACACATCTGAGAACCTGTGTGAGAATTCCCCTCTGGTAACGCAGCAGTTTTGAGCATGTGGACTCAGATCATATGGAACAGGACAGATTCAGATCAGAGACCTGCTCCAGTCTCTGAAGGTGTCTGTCTGCTCAAACACAGTGGGATAGCAATAAAGTGTATTGAGAACTGGTTGCTGACAGGCGCTTGCCCTGTAGCTTCTAGGACTGCTTTAATAAGACATACATGATATGTAGACACCTCCTGAAATACCCTGCAAAAGGATCATAAATTATCTGGCAGTTGTGTTGGCCACATCTTTTTACACTGCAGATGAAAAGGATGAATGCATTTCTGTTCACAGTGGTGGTGTGCTGAAGTCTGCTTCAGAACAAGTATTTTCTGTCTCTTCTGCTGTGATCACTTTTGGTTTCAGTCAGGGCTAACGCTTCTCATCCAGATCTGCTACTTGACCACGTGCTGAAGGTTCACTTTCACCACCTTCTAATGAAGAGACAGTCATTTCTTCTGGGCTGGCCACTGGTAGTAAATCCACCCAATTTATGACTCAAAAAGTTCAGAACTGTTTATTTTGTCTTCTTCATACAGCAAAATATTTTCCATGAGCTTCTTTTTTTGATCATTTATCTTTATTTTCCAAGATGTCTCTCTGGCTACTGCTGAAAAACAAAAAAAGGTCAAATAGTGAGAAAAAAAAAAATCCATCTATTGTCTAAGGAATAGACAATAATTTTAAATTAAAAAGCAAAACAAAACTGGCTTAGGAAACAAAGTCTGATAGAAATCAGAAAACATTTTGTAGATTTATTTGGGGTATCATAACCAAGGAGAAAAGATTTTCTGAAATGTGTTTAGAAGTAAGAAGAAGAACCTAAGCAATTCTGGAGAAGAAAGTAAATTGTCCCTGCTTTTATAACACTAGAGCATGTTTACAGAGACTCCACCTTCCACAGCAGGAGCGTGGGCAGTTCTGCCAAAGCACTCTAAGATCACGCGTGTTTGAACGTTCTGTGTGCACCCTGCATGTCCATCTAGACATACCTTGTGAAGAACACGAGGAGTCCAGGTCTGCAGTATTTTGCAGAAGGGTGCTCTGTGCAGAGGATGCTGCTGCTGGGATGTCACCACTTCTGGCACAGGCTGCACTTCTTTCCTGGAGTGCATTCCCAGCTTTCTCCTGCTTGCAGCCAGAGCCTGCCGTATTGTCTGAGATGTTACAGCTCTTGCTGTAAAGCTCATCTATGGATTTTTCTGAAGGATTCCATATAAAACTACTTGACTCGTCGGATTCACAAGGGACCCTCGACTCCTGGGCACAGCAGGTGTCAGGTGGCACAGCTCCTGCCAGGGCCGTGCAGGGCCGGGCGCCCGCCAGCACCGCTGCCTGCGTGCTGTCCTCCCTGCCCCCCCCTGCCGAGGGCACGTCCACGCTCAGACTGGTTGTCTCATCATCTGTTTCTTCTGGAGTGTTCGTGGAGAAGCCAGACGTGCTGCCTCCACAGATGGAATGCTCTCTTAACTTATTTTCAGCCGTCTCCAGAGCTTCACGCACCTGTTTTTAACCAGAGAACCTGTGAATGCAGCGTCACTCCTGCACCCCCACGTACGAGCATTCTCCCACATCAACACTCTCAACAGTAAGGTAAGGATGAATGTTGTAGCTTCAGACCTTGCTGTCAAGACTAAAATCCTCGTGATGTATTTAAAATCTTACCTCTGCTATGTTAGAGTTCTTCTTCCTCAGACAAAGGCAGATGGCAGAGGCAAAATCAACACCAGCTCCCTCCAGCAAGGGTCCTGCATTCCTGTCGAGATACTTGTGGCAGATCTCCTTGGCAGCTAGCTTTTCACAGCTTTTCACTTTGGAGCAGGAGCTTTCTTTTGCTATTTGAATTTCATCAGCAATCATATCTTTCTGTTCAAAGGAAACAGACACCTTAGTGAAGGCAAAATTAACAGACACATTTATTTCTGTCTGATCAATGAGAACCGAGTCTTGCCATACATTTGTCATTACTGCTCCTTAACAGCTGGCTTACAGACTTAAAAGCTTTAAAACAACTACCAGAAAGGTTTTTTTTTCAGGAGAGAAGAGGCTAGAGGTTTTCTCTGTGTGTGGCTAATGCCAAATTCACTAAAGCAGACCCAGCTCTTCTAGGCCTGTGTCCATTTATAGGAATGAAAACTAATCAACTCTGTATATAGCAGCATTCCTGCACAGGACTGTTCACATGTTTGTTACAGAAATCAGAAGTTAGGATCCTTTACATTCTGAACCCATCTGAACATTGCTCAGCTGCTTGGAAACAGTAAGAAAGAACACTGTAGTTTTCCCCTCAAAGGCTCCAGCCAGAAGGCAACTCAGAGAAGGGTGTCCCATTGAAGGAACACAGCTGGAGGCTGTTCTCATGAGGATGGGGTCACGGGCATGGCGGAGCCTGGCGGGTTCTGGGTGCCTGTGGAAGCAGTGTGTGCAGCTCTGATCACAGCCTGGGCAAGCTGGCCAGGGTACAAACTCCAGACACCAGAGCAATACAGAAACGCTGACAAACACGACGATGAGCAGCAGCAGTTACCACCTACCCAGCTCTCCCCAGCCAGTTTAGCTCCTAACGCCTCAAGCCTCTTAAATCAGGACGTATTTAAACAGCAGCTATTCTGGAGTGTCTCCTAATACAACTGGGCAGCACTCCAGAGTGGGGTATGTGAAACAGGAATAGGTACTCTTCTTCTGTCTAGAGGCAGGTAGGCTACTGATGGTAATGGAACCAGGATATGGCTTCTACACATCCCTTCTTCAGGATGCATACAGCAGACTGCAAATAACCAACTGTATTTATATAAAATGAAAATCCATTTTATGACAGCAACCTCACGCACTTGTGTTGCTATTCGTTATTCCTGCTTTTTCTTACCAGATAGATAGGATGTCTTCCTTCATCCAGAGCCTTAACCCCCGTCAGTATCTCTGCTAAGACCTAGAAAGTATATTTGAAAGACAGACCAATTTGTTCAGAATTAATTCTGTTTTTAAAAATGAGTTTTGTAACTAAAGAAACATTGAACTGCCAGCACATTTTGAAATTACCTTTTTGCTTCAGATAGCTTAACATGCTAGATCTGGAAACCTTCAGATCTACCTCCAGAGCCAAGTCCAAATTTTAGAGTTAGATACAATGGATATTGTTGAAACAAAGGCTGAGTAGAAAGTAACTTGAAATCTAGATCAGAAATCAAACTCAATTGAGTAACTTCCTATTTAAATGGAAACACCTGGAACAGGTGATACCACAGGCTATATATTATTTTGGTTGAAATTCCAAATTAAAAGGTGATGTTTGTAGCAGTTCATGTGGCAAATCTGCAGGAATTCCAAGAACCTAACTGAAATCTTCCTGCTACTCTTAAAAAAACAGAAAACCCCAATGATTAGCAGTACATTTTTTTTTGCAACAAGAAAATTTTGTTTCTGTGCTTCAGAAGATTCACTGTACTTTGCCACAAACTGAAGTGTGTTTGGAGAGTGAACATAATTAGAAACAAGATTTCAACACATTATATAGTCAGCAACTATGATATGAAATTGCCAGCAAAGCAGCCCTATGAGGCACATGCTCTTAGATCCATTTTCCTGTCTAGAAGCACCAAAGAGTACAACAGAACATGGAAAAAAAGGCAACATACCACACCACAGCTGAATACATCAACTTTTTCTGTTAGCTGCCCATGTCTGATAAAATCTTCTGGCAGGTAAGTAAGAGAGGCTTGCAGGACTTTGGTTTTCACCATAGCATATTCTGATTTTTTATCAGCAGAATAGAGTCGCAGACCTGAATGTCCAAGCTTTGGTGTAAAGTTCTCATCCAACAAGACATTTGAGCTGTGATAAAGAAAGACAAATAACAATATTGGTCAGGTAATTAACCTGAGGTAAAGAATTACAGTTTTCCACTTTTAAAGTTGAGCACTGAAAGTTTCCAGCATTCGGCCTGCTGTGTATCAATGAAAGGATAAAGAATGGGAGAACGGGAGAGGGGGAAGAACAAGCACTCAAAAAACTACTTCAAAAGAACATACTTTCATCTTTCATAAAAGAGAGACAGATTAAACATAAACCAGTAAACACTCTGCAGAACAAGAGACAGCAGAAAGATACTGCAAATGGATTTCAAAACTGCATAAACTTTTAGCCATTATTGTAAAAAGAAATCCTGGAATTTACAGGTGACCGAGGAAGTGCTGATGTGTCAAACCTCTCACCTTTTGATGTTCCCATGAAGAATTCCAAAGTTATGTAAATACTCTACAGCTCGGATGAGTCCTGTGGAAATGGCAATTCTCATCTCCCAGCTCAGTGGAGCAGAGCCATCCTGCAGGGAAGGGAGGGACAAAGTGCTATTTTATACAACAAAAACTGGAAGACAGTAGTTTTGAAAGACAAAGACTTTGACTTAGTCCTAATCAGAACTCCTGCTGAGCTAAATCACACGTCTGGTCCATGGCAGCAACGGGTGATTTCTGGGTGAAGGAAGGGACCTGCTCTTACCCTCTGTGCTGCTCACCCTGCCCGGGCAGGACACAGTGAGGGCAGGCTGCTGCAGGGTCACACCCACCCTCAGCACCACGTCAGCCTGACGGGCTGCCTTTCATGTTTCTCTGCCCCAAGATCTCCTCTGCAATGCTCTTTCAGTAGGTGTGGACAGCTCAAACTGTTCCCTCTTAAGCCCTTGTAACACTCCACAGCACATTGCACCAATGAACCTGATAATGGATTCCACAGAATCGTATTTCCAAACCCAGTGAAATATTACAATAGGAACAGACACATTTTGCAGATCCATATTACTCTGAAAATCTAAAGGCTGCCCAGCAGAAAATTCCTCCTGACTTCATTTGTTTTACAGCAGAAAAACTGGGAAAGAGCTGCAGCCTTCTAGTACTTGTAGACAAGGTATTTGGGCACTCCTTTTTTTGTCTGTTTTTCAGAACTCAAAGAGATATAATTGCTTTTCACACAGTAACAGGACAGGACTTGTAATCACAGACAGGTAACATAGACCCAGGGCATTTGCTTACTTGACACTGAAGTTTGTTTTGGAGGGATCCGTTGGGCAGGTATGGATATATCAGACAGTGCAATCCAGTTTCTACTGAGAAACCCAGCAGCTGCAAGATGTTGATGTGACAACACCTGCAGGCACAGATCAACAGTGATTTGCAAATGACATAGGAGCAACACAGAAAAACACATTCCTGAGCTGGCATAAATTCCTGCTCTCCAGGCAGCTGGGCACCGTGTGCTGCAGCTGGCAGCCCAGAGCAGCCCCGGGCAGACGGCAGCAGCCTGGGGGAGACGGTCGGAGCGCAGCCCAGTCCCCAGCAGGGAGCAGGGACACAGAGCTCCAAGGCCTCCCGAGCAGCCCCGGGCTGGCAGCAGCCCTGCAGCAGCACTGGCAGGTGGGCAGTCTGCCCAGCAGAACCCCACTGTCCCCAGAGAGCACAGGGGTCTCCAAGCAAGCCCATGGGCGGGGTACGCAGCGACCGCCCCGGGAGCCAGGCACCTACCGAAAGCAAATCTGTACTTCTGTGTGAAAGAACCTTTGTGTGGAGTTTGGGCTCGTGCATTCCACCTGAAACAGGAAAACATGCAATAGAATGTCAATAGGAATGTTGAATTTGTACAGATGCTTTAATCCCTAGAGGGCAAACTACTTTAGAAAACAGGCAGGTATCACTGATGGCAGCTTTGTGTCAGAGGCAACAATTAATTCAAAATCAGCCACCCAGCAGGGTGCTCCCACAGACAGAGTTAACAGTACTCACTTTTACTCATGAGTAAACTATCTCCCCTATGGGTTTGCTGAATCTGGTTAACTTGCTTTACATCAGTTCCTTTTTACCTCTCCTCTTTTCTGCCTCCTTGCCCATACCATATTAAACAACAACCACTAATATTCCACTAATAACATGCACCCTTCAAAAAAAAAGAAAAGGTGGGGTACTTGCCTCTTTCAGCCTTTTGATGACATACACCATGTTGTTCCTCTGACCTCTGTAGACATCTGCAAAAGTACCTTCACAAATTCTGCTCTTGTCACTGAAACCATTTGTGGCACTAGTAACTTCCTTCTGGGTCCACAGGAGACTCCCGCTGGGGAGATCAGTCATTGTCTCCTGCTGAGGAGCAGAAAAGCTGCAAGGCTACACATTTGTAGAAGAAACAAGTTTATCTCACGAAAATTCATATGCTTTTTCCTTCTTTCAGGTGTTGTATTTTCTTTTCCATGCTTTAACCAGTCACTGTGGTTGTTGAGAGGAAAAGTGAAAGGCACTGTGCAATCACCCAGCAGAGCTCCCCTTTGTAACTCCTGCCTGGATGTGCTTTGATGGGGGGAAAGTTTTGCACAGCAGAAGAGACCTGAAAACCATTACCAGTCTGCAATTCCATTTCCCCAGTAAACAGTTTTGTTTAAAAGTCCATATATTTATTTGACGTGATGCTAGTTTAAGTTACAAAGAATATTAATCTTTATGGCTTGGGCATATATTAAGAAACAGCTGGATCAGGAATTTGGGTCCCTCATAATGTATTTATGCTCTGGCAGGAACTTCACATTTACTTCTGAAGCATCTGGTGCCAGTTGCACAATAACTCGTTGCTTCTAGTGTAGCGAGTTCTAATGCCAATTGTTATTGCAGTTCCACTGCAGCCTAACCATGCAGCTTTCACAACCTTCATGTGCTCCAGGCTTGAGAAAACAAAACCTTTAATCCCCTTTCAAGAAGCTCTGAAACTACTGCATTCTTTGTAGGAATCTTCTCTTCTGGCTGGTACTCCTGAACCATGCAATTTTGGAAGAGTTTAAAGTCTTAAAACACAATCTTCTTTAAAAATCCAAACAAAATAAACCAAAGAAAACAGGCCAAGCCAGAACCATGGTGGGACCAGAGTGTGCACATGGATCTGGGAAGACCTCTGAGGACCCACAGAACAAATCTATATAGACTATCTGAAAGACAAGGGAGCTATAGGGAGGAAGGAACAGGAGACTGTGTGCTGAAATAATTGCAAATAAGAGAACAGCTTTTCACAGTGAGATGGTTTGGCACCAGAACAGGGGCTCAGAGGGGTGACAGAACCTCCATCCTTGGAGATTTTCCATTGTCAGCTACACAAGGCTCTGGGCAACCTGACTTAAATTTGATACTAGTCCCATTTTGATCAGAAACCACATTTTAAGTATGAAATTAAGCTAAAAGCAGTATGCCATTCTTACTAGTCAGTGGTATATGTTGCACTGTCTTATGGTCACACCAGAAATGTTTAGTCCTCTGTAGAGTCTATACTGGAAATTCCTTCAGAGTTAATTGCTATTTGTGGGCATATTATCCATGCTAAGCTATGCAGTATGCAATATTGTTCATTTTCCCCCTCACTGGTCCTTCACTGGCAAAAAAAAGTGATGTAAGTAATAAGTAATCTAACTGTAGCATTACTACTATATTCAGTCCAAGCAAATTATAACCACACCCCACTTTTTCACCAAATCTATATTTTATACAAGTAGAGGGATAAACTTTAATTGAAAAAACACAGAATGTCATACAGCCAATTTTCATTGCTCCAGTGAATGAGTACTGAAGGGATTTACCTTCACGCTCGACGAGACGGGAGGATTTGACTGTAAGGATTTCAGGAGGTCTCTTGGGGGAGGTGGTGGACCAGGGAGCAAATACAAAACGTCAGAAACAGGACCTGAAATTGAAATAACAGCTCTGAGAACACACCCTGTTTTTGCAGTACCACAGCCTGTGACTAATTCTGAAGGTCTGGGGTATTTTGCTGAATTTTCTAACGAGGGATAACCTGTGACACGCTGCCAGAATGTGAAACACTGTGTGAAGACAGGGAGCTATTTTCCCAGTTCCTCTTTGCAGGATGACTACACAGATCTCTCTAGTCCTATCTCCTGGAGAGCTCCCAATGTCTACACCCTTGGTCAGTTGTGCTCCTCAGCATGTCCCGTGGTTCTGCTCCCCCCTTTCCCAGGCAGAGGGACCTGCTTATGCATGCACAGCTCTCTTCTGGCCTACATTTATTTCACTGGGAGAGAGGGACGTGGGGCAGGACACGTATGGAAAATCTAATCTTAGTATGGAGCCAGGATGGGACCAGAGTGTTCACAGAGACCTGGGAGACGTCTTGAGATCCCACAGCACAGACACAGCCAGCATCTCTCAAGGCCAAAAGAGCTACAGGAAGGAGGAAGAGGAAGCCATGAGCGAAAGTTAGGAATAAACAGTTCAGGAGACAGCAGTGCTAGGAAAAAGGCAGATATTCCAGTGTGACCACTTTGAAGAGCACTACATTCACTCCACTGCACTGACAGCAGATGGGAAGGGGTCTTGTCTCTATGGTCATTTCCGTGCTAGAGCAAGTTCAGAACAAGTCCTTCACTTCAGTACCTGCTGGTGGTACCCCCAGATGTGAAGAGTCTGGTGATGGCAACAGACTTATCTCGTTGTCTCTCTCTCTCTTTTTGTTTTCTGTGGGAGTTAAGGATACATTCTCCTGTTTAGGTGGCTCTACCAGCTCTTCTTTTTCAGCATTGGTAGTACTAAATGCAGATGTCCCTTCAAAAGAGAAGAAAGGAAAGATGAACTTTACCAGGAAAAATAGAGCCTGATTCTGATCAGTTACCAGGAAATAATCCTAGTCAGAAACACTGACTCTAAATTAACATGGGCATTAAAGTGAACATTCAAGCAATTAATTGTTAAATAGCTGGAATATTGTTGGCATTTAAATTCAGACCGTATTAATGACACAACTACTTCTGAAAATTATTAGGTGATAGCTTCAAAAACACACCAGTGATGACTATGCAAAAGATGTATAGCCTCTTACAATAAGGAATTAACAATAATAGTATATTTATTTTGTCATTTTCTATACAACATCCTTCAGCCTATAATCTCAAATCAGAAGTATCTCCGAGCCTAAAGAAGGGATCTAGTTCCTTGCTAATTGCCATGGGACTGAGAAGAAGATTGATAGAACTCTACTGGTTTTAGTCCATTAAATATTTTAGGATGACTTTCAGTTCTGTGGTTTTAGTGTAAAGACCATACTCACCCCCAGAAAACAGTTTCCTATACAGAACTATTTGCAATAAAGAGTCATACTTATGAAGAGAAAGAAAGACACTGGAGACAAACTAGGGAAAACACAAAAATGGCCAAAGGTCAAGACTTACTGATAAATAAGGAAAAATTAAAGGTCGAGTTACTGATTCACTACAGCTGTAAAAGATCATATGTTTTATGCAGGTTGGCAAAATCTCAGAATCAGGCGTGAAAAAGCAACCTGAAGTCTGGTTAAAAGAAGTACAGGTTCTTCAGCATACAGGGTCTTGAAGAGTATGTACATCTTAGAGGAAATTATTTCAATTAGATCAGGCTACAGTTAGGATGGGGGAAAAAAATAAAGTAAGAAAATTCAAGATACTGTGATATACAAGGCTATCAAAATCTCCTGAAGAAGCAGCTGAATTCTTACCCATGGATACATTTAGAACTGAGGTTGAAAAGGAGGCTGGAGATGCCCAATGTGCCCTAGAGATGACAGAGGGGCCTTTTGCTGCCTGGTAACAATGTTTTCCTGGTTGTAGTTCTAAACTTTTGTGTCTACCTGCTACATTTTATCAGCAATACATTTAACATTTTCTTAAAAATCAAAACTAGTGGTTTATTTTTATATAAAACAAAACAAGCACAAGCATTAATACAAGAATTTTTTTTGTCATGCTGTTTTATCATCTTTGTATCTTAAGCACGGTGTTGATCTTGGAATCAGAAGCTGCAGGAGGCCTCTGCATGTGAAGCCAGATAAAACCCATGTGTTCTTTTTTATCACAAAGCACCGGGAGTCCCGAAACAAGCAGGAAGTGACATGGCTCATCCGAGAGCTCTCTCCTGGCACAAGCCTGCAGCCAGCAGAGGCCAGGCCGGGCAGACAGGCTGGGGGGAGCAGACAGGCTGGGCAGCTCCAGCCTGCCCTGGGCCGCAGAGCAGGGCACACGAGCAGCAGTAGCGCAGGGAGGGCGCCTGCACGTCAGGCACACTTCTGCCCTGGAGTCCTCCTTGGGGTTTGCACCCACTCTCTTCCCCGTCACCTTGTGGGTTTGAATGAAACTGGGTCTACAAACTGTAACTCGGAAAAGTCACCCGTTTCTGTATCACTGTGTCAGAATGCTACAAAATCCCCAAATTCACGGGTTTTTGAAATTAGCTGTCAAACAGTCCACCAGCCCTTTAGGCAACAATGACAGTCCCTACATTCTGTGGTTGTTGGTTTTTCCCTCTGGTACTTTAACCTAGAAACCTCTAAAATTAGATTCACTTCCCTCTTTCAACCTTTTTTTTCAGGGTTTTTCATTAATTTTGCAACTTCCTGCACATCAGACAAACGGGTCACTACTGAAGCTAAAGAACTGACATAACATAAAACCATTATTATTATGGGCACCCAGAAGTGGGACTAGAGTAGTGCAAGAAGATGAAGGGAGGTAGAAATCTGATAGTAGCCTGTCAGCAGAAACCTCTACCCGTGTGTTGTGCCTGATTCCTTTAAGTCAGAAGGAACAGAGATATGGTGATGTATGCACCACTTAAGTTTTCTAAAGTGTCCAGCAGAATAAGCAGTGCATTCTCTGTATCTGCCCGAGAGGAATATCCTGAGTAAGAACATTCAGCTACAGATAAAAAAGCAGAAATAAAAAGTAAAGAGTTCAAAGACTTACCCAAACCTAAGGATACTGCTAGAAATCACTTTTGCTTATGGCTGAGCACACAGTGGAATGCAGTATCAGGTTAACTCCAGAGAACACTATTTCCACATGTCAGAATAACATAAATAATAATAAGTTTTGCAACTTATTGTATTTGAATTGATCTGGGACAAAAATTAGTATTGATCATGCAGAAACATAATTGATCACTCCACAGGCTCTCTTTCATACTCTTTTAAACCCTCTTCATCTATCCTTCATTTTGCTTTACAAAATTCAGTCAAACACAGGATCCCTTCTCCCTCCTTACACAGCCCTTTGTGGAGCAGCCCAGTCCTGTAGCCCACCCACTGTCACAGAATACATCTGAGAAACAAAGGTATGTTAGATCTGTCACATCAGTTCAGTGCCTCAATGAGCATGCCCATTTCTTCCCATCATCTCTCAATATCTCTTTTCCCTATTTTCTACATAGCCCACAGAAATCAATATAAAGACCACTGTTTATTTGCATCAGCCAACTGCAATTGTCAGAAAACAAGCTTGTTCTTAGAAATCACAGTGCTCTCCTGCAGCCTGGAGGAAGCTCACTGGGTGTTATTTTTAACAAGCAAAAATCTCTCCATTTTTGCAACTTGTGTCAAGTGAAGTCCCAAAAATGTCAGAAATGGTTTTGAAAAAGCTCAAAAAGATAAAAAAAAAAACAAAACCAAACAAGTTAACTCACTGAAGCACAGCAGCAAGTAGGTGATTCCCCCTGGTGCACAGCCTGAGCCCGGTGCGTATTGTGCAAGCTACAGCCGTATTTACATAACACTTAAAAGCGAAGCAGTCAGACAGAAGGGTGAGGAACATTCCTGTGCAGCAGTGATGATTATTTTTGCCCGTGCTGTATGTTTGCTTTTACTGGCAACATTACTGGAAGCTGCTCTTGGATGGGAAGCCTGAGTCTCTGCACTTTACGTCACTGGTGAGACAAGTCCCACTGAGGCCTTGCGCAAGCGGCGTCGCCGGGGCTGTAACACGCCGCCTCTCCAGACTGGACCCAGGGCCACATCCAGGCCAAGTGATCAGAGATCCTCTGCACAGCCTCTGGATCCCCAGGGGATTGTTCTACTGAACACATCAGCTACACATGAGCCCGAACCCAGCAGTGCTGTGGTATGCAAGCAACAGCCCTCTGAAACTAAATGCACGAAGCTTCTCTTTGAGTAATTCACCACTGCAAAGTGCTGAACTAACCTCAGCTTGAGATCTAATCTACTAAGAGAAGAGAAAAACCCTGTGCCCCGGGGTAGAAGCAGCACCATCTCAGTTGTTATAACAAGTAATTTTTCTAAGTACTTTGAACTTGGCTTTTGCCAAAACGGCACAATTAACCCACATGGGAAAGAAAGGGCATCATACCTTACTGAACAAACCACCCTTCCCAGGACAGATAAAAATTCTGTTCAAAAATTGCTGCTACTATTATGTTGTGGTAAAAACATTCAGTAATGTTTCAGTTTTTATGTTTTTGGAAGGAGAATGCAGGCCGTTTATTAAATCACAATGTATAAAGTGGCATTACAGAAATGTCAACAAACTCTAAAGGAATACACCGAAATAAGCAGATCAGAGATCCTCTGCACAGCCTCTGGATCCCCAGGGGATTGTTCTACTGAACACATCAGCTACACATGAGCCCGAACCCAGCAGTGCTGTGGTATGCAAGCAACAGCCCTCTGAAACTAAATGCACGAAGCTTCTCTTTGAGTAATTCACCACTGCAAAGTGCTGAACTAACCTCAGCTTGAGATCTAATCTACTAAGAGAAGAGAAAAACCCTGTGCCCCGGGGTAGAAGCAGCACCATCTCAGTTGTTATAACAAGTAATTTTTCTAAGTACTTTGAACTTGGCTTTTGCCAAAACGGCACAATTAACCCACATGGGAAAGAAAGGGCATCATACCTTACTGAACAAACCACCCTTCCCAGGACAGATAAAAATTCTGTTCAAAAATTGCTGCTACTATTATGTTGTGGTAAAAACATTCAGTAATGTTTCAGTTTTTATGTTTTTGGAAGGAGAATGCAGGCCGTTTATTAAATCACAATGTATAAAGTGGCATTACAGAAATGTCAACAAACTCTAAAGGAATACACCGAAATAAGCCAGCCGTAAACAAAACTGGGCCTCAGAATGTGCTGACAGGGGAAGAAAGCAAGGACTGTAATAATTAGAGTTGAAGGTGTGGTAGATTGTTCTGTAGGAGCACCCAGAAACTCTTTGCAGACTGGGAATCAGTGTTAAATACTGAACAGGCACAGAGTAAAGTGCCATCACATCATGGAAGCCACCCTCTACTCCAGAGTATCCATAAAATACCATTGTCAGGGAGCCAGGATTACTGCACTGGTGATATCTAGATCAGACTTACTCAGTGTAGAGGATTAAAACAAAAATTTAAGAAATCAAGATTTTGTTGTCAGTCCTGTCTGCTCAGACTGGACCCTCAAAGTCACAGTCACTGTGACTAAATTAACAGTTGGACTACAGACACACGAAACAGTTTCGAGTTCACTTCCCTGTAGGTCTGTTTGCTTTGCTGAGGAATGAGGTGTAATAATAGTTGCAGCCTCCTGAGCTGTGACTGAATTCAGCCAGAAAGAGGATCTGCTGAATGAAAAGGCCACGTATGGGTGATGGCAAAATCAGCTTATTAGCTGGGCAACGCTCTCGTTAGGGTCTGCGGTTGTCGCGTTTGATGTACTAACACAGGATTTGCTTGAAGGCCACTTGGGATGTACTACTTAATATTCCTTTTTAAAAAAAAAAACATAATCCAGAATGCCTTTCTTAAAGATTGTTTTCTGCCATACCAAAACGAAAGTTCGAAGTCATGGCAGCGCCAGGAAATCCAGAAACCAGCAGCAGCACCACGCAAAGGAAGGCGGTGGCCGGGAGCCAGTGGTGCAGAGCAGGGGTTCCTACACACCCACTGGGCAGCAGCAGG